CAAATTTGTTCTTTTTCAGAAGTTTAGATACTTCGACTGCTTAATGTACGAGTCAAGCCATAATTGGGCATTTTGGGCAACGTTGGATTAAGGAACGGATTCAGGAACTTGAAGTGTAGCGGGAGAAATAGGAACGAGAGCTACAAGATTACCTTATAATGGAATATTGTCAGAACGGACCTGAAATGTATCACGTCACGCCCACAGAAGATTGAAACGAGAGCCTTAGTTTATTTGAAACCTAGATTTGAAGATTAGAAGCTTGATTCTACGTCACCCATAGTGATATGAAATGTATCACTAATCAATGTAAAAAGTAAAAACATGTATAAATACCTAATTCTTCCGGACGGTAACGTCGACAAATAAATAATAAATAAATAAAAAACCTATTGGAAGCAGAAGTGAACCAAACAAAATCTCAGAGAATTCAAAAAAATTTGGAACCCTAAAACTCTTAATTTTGTGTTTTTAATCAATTTTGATGAAGCTTTGGATTAAGTTTAGGTCAATTTATAGAAGATATTAAACTTCAATTTCAACAAAGCTAAGAATAGACTCACGAAATAATTAGTTCCAGTAAGTTTGAGTCCAATTTCAATGTTCCAAAACTCGCCTTAAACAAGAAGTCATAAAAATACTCAAATATTTCAATTAATTGCTTCCAAAACTTTGCCCCACATAAAAATTTCATCTCAAGTGCAAACAAGTTATGCCAAAAATTAAAATTCCATTTCACATTTATTGCGCTAAAATACTACAAAGAAGACTTAACGAAATATTTTCATTTAGAACTGAAAAGAAAAAACTTTCTCGTTCATGCCATATTCTCGCTACCGTCATTCATTCATTTACCTTCTTCATTTTATCTTTAAAAAACATTATTTTGGCTTCTGTACGACAAAATTCACATTGACGAGAGTGAGGAAGCAATGAGAAACGTTCGCTCTTTTAATTTAATTGCCATGCATACATCATCGTATTAGGCGACCGTACGAATGTGAAGATGGATGAAAATGCTGTATGACGATGTGATGATGGCGAAAACAATTTTCAAGTCGAGAAGTGAGAAGCGGTGAAAAAACAATTCACAAAGAACTGAGAAATGAGAAGTGCCACAATCTTTTATTGAGTGCACTGACCGAATTGAATCGGTTTGAAGATTTTTTATTTTTTTCACATATCAAAATTGGAATTCGTGGCTTTGTTGAAATGAAAATGAGAGTTGAGAAGTGGAATATTGATAGTTTGTGATGGACTTTTGTTGGTTGATTGTTGGACGGGTGAAGGGTTGGAGAGACTTTTTGAATTGATTGGATTGAATGTTGGAATTTTTGTAGATTCTTAGCAAATTGTCATAGGAGAGGGGGAGGGGGGGGGGGGGTCTGGATCCCTTCTATAAATTTTAAACAATTATTAAATTTCATAAAATTAATTTGAAACTGCATAGGAAATTCGATAATTATCCCCCAAAAATTAAATCAAACTTTTCATTTAACCTCATTAAAAATCCAATCATGTCCATAATAGTCATTATCAAAATCTACCAAAAAATTTTATTTTTAGAGATTATTCTAAATTAGGCCTGCCATTGTTGCTGATTATTGATTGAAAATTTAGCTCAATAAATTTAATTACAATTATATGAGCAAGTTTAATTGCAAATTGATAGTAATGATGAACTTACATGAAAATTTATGCATTTCTATTAAAATTAATTCCATTTACATGTGCAATAGGTGATTAAATTTATTATGAAATTAAAGGACGTGTAATTTGAGTAATTGCAATTGTCTCATTATATTCAATTTTATTAAAGTGCAGTGAGTGTCTAGGGGAATCAAGGTATTTGTAAGCGAACTATAAAGAGGAAATTCCATTGGTTTACAAAGTTGCGGAACTGATTAACTACATTTCAAAAATTTTTGATAATTTTTTGAACATTTTTCATCACTTTTTGAAAATTTTTATCACTTTATGAACATTTTTGATTTATTTCATCTTTTTCGCACCCTTGTTGAGTTGACAGAATCAGTTACTCTCAATTTAGGACGTAGTGAAAAAAAATAAGTTCAGGAGTGTCAGGGAAGTAGCATCCGTGCATAGGAAGGGGGGGGGGGGGGGGTGGTTCGGATCTTTTGAAAACCCTCTCACTCAGGGCAAAGTTGTTTAACAAATTTGATAAAAGGGTGGTTTGTGGGATTTTTTAAAATTTAACTTATTGATGTCAATAAAAAATTTAAACCTTTTTAAATTAATTTTTCACTTTTTTAAAATTTCTACATGAAAGTTTACAACTGTGCATTTAAAAATTTGTTTGCTTCTTTTCAAAATTAAGGAGTTAATTGATAATAAATTAATTCAAAAATGATTTAATTGCTCGCTACTTAAATCCAACTTATTGACTCTACTCCAAGGTCTCAAGTGGAAAACTGTTTTTAAATATGTAAATTATTTGATTAAATAACAATGGAACTTAAAGGCATTTTTTTAAGCATCTCAAATTGAATTATTTTCATTGCACATTTTTTCGAGTATCTTTGTTAAGTAGATATTTGGGAGAAATGCATTAACAATGGCAAATAATCCATTATACTTCGGATTTCAAATAGTTCTTCACTGGAATTGAATGAGTCAAGTGGTTTACAATGTGTTAAGTATTTTAATGGATTCAGAAAGCATCAGAATTTTTTATATTTATTTAAACAGTGAGGAGAGATAAATACAATTCATTTTGAACCATTTTAAATGGCTAGAGTGCATCATATGAAATATTTTTTGATTTTAAAAATCATTTTTTACGATTTAATTTTTTTCGAATGTAAAATTTCTGCGAAACCCACAAAAAAATTCACAATTTTTAATTCTGACAAAAATCTTTTCCAAGAGACAAAATTGATCAATCTCAACAATTTACCACAAATTTTTTTTTTCACATAAAACTTTTAATTCCTTCTCGTAATTCACATAAAATCCAATCCAAAATTATCTCATTGATTTTTTTTTATTTCCATAGCACATGTGTCTTTAGTCCACAGACATTGGCTAAATGCCTTCACACATTTTTTATGTACATAATCAATTTGATATGAGCCACTGTGAGTTAATTTTCACTTCACATCCGTCACATAAGGAAAAATATTATTTCCTTTTTTTCATCCTCAAAAGAACCGGCAAAAGATATCCGTGATATAAAAATTGAGAGTTTTAATAATTTTGTGTTCATTCACATGAACATCACGTAAGAGACTGAAATAAGAAGGGAATATGAGATTGTAACAATTCGTCTGAAGGATTCAACAACAGCATCACCGTGCGCAGTTACAAACTTTTACCCGAACCTGTGACGTCATGATCTTGGATATCTTCGTTGTCACGTGGATTTTTTTTTTGTATATTATCTATAACCGCATATGATTTTTATTTCTGTACAATTTTCAAGGTTAAAGTTGATGATTTATTATTTGGTGACTTTTGCAGAGTGTGAAAAATTATTCAAGTTTTTATTTTTATGTCCTTTGCTTAAATCAGCAGAAATATTTTTGGGACTCCATGTAAAGGTGAATGATGTATGGAAATGGGAATAGTAGAAATGAAGGCAAAATAGGCAAAGAAGTGGAAATTTTTTCAATGTTATTGTCGGTATTTGAACTTGATCTTTTACTCCTGAATGGAAATAATGATGTGGACAAATTGTATACTCGTGGATGAACAGAAGGTGTGGATTCGAAATGATTAATGAGATGAAGAAAATTATGTTAAAGGATATGAAAATTTAAGGTTTTGATATTTCTAACAGCTTTCTTATTATTTTGTAAATCGTGGAAGGAATCAATAGGGGTGTAGTCAGGAATTCGAAGATTTGCCCCGCTCCCTGGCTACGCGCCTGAATATTATGATTTTTGATGACTTTGTAGCTATGAAAATATTTAAAAATTTAGAGCAGTGATATCCAATCTTTATTGTACCTTTCGCGGCACACGGGCTAGACATCACTGTTATAAGGTCATTAGTAAGGATTTTCCGCAAGTTTTCAAAGTCTAATGTTAAAACCAAAACTTACCTGGAAAGCACAAGTTGAGTTAATCAATCAGAAATAATCCAGCATCAAGCCGGTGTGACTCTCATATCGCGCTGGATTCAATTTCAATTCATACCAGAAACCCGCTAGCTTGGCGTTGGATTTCTGGTTGATTAACCGACTTGTGCTATTCGGGATACTACGGAGTTACAACCTAATCTCTGTCTCGATCTCGTCTTGTTCTTAGTGTTGATGTTGGTTTTGTCTCAGGACCGTTTACTGAATTTTGCTTAAAATTTTCCGTAACCTCATAGGCGATTCGCAGATAATGAGATTTTAACGAATGAAGAACGCCAAACCACTGCATTCGAACCTAAACCTACAGTTTATGTTAAGATCTGAACCACTTCTTTAAAAACATTGCTGCTTTTAGCCTACAAAAGAAGGCTGTAACAACAATTTAAGTTCCCATGCCGAGTTTCGAACTTTTGATCGCTGTGTCTGTTTTGCAATAATTAGGTACCGAAGTACTAAACCATTCTGACGCAGAGCCACTTCAGCTCACTAAAACTATAAACTAAGAAGCTTTGAATAAAATGCGCTCTAAAAAGACCACAATGAACTATAAAATTTTTAACTTGAACCTAATACTTCTACTGATATTTAGTATATGAAATTGTAGACATTTTCATAAGGATGTAACGAATGCCTAACATTTGTCTCCATTTTCTCTCCACATTCCTATTCAACAACGTCCATGAAAATTTCAAATAAGCTTTTTGTAGAGTTCGTAAAAGCTTTAAAAGCTCTGAGAATGTGCGCATGATAAGAATCTATAGTAAAATTTTCAAAAGTTGTGGAATGTGTGTTTATAAACTTAAAGTTCGTTATGAAAAGCTATTTATTTAGTATTTATGTAGGACATTAATGCATAAAAAAGATTAAAAAGTAAAGCCTGAGACAATTGACTTAACAAAAGCTAGTAGTAACAAAACAATAAATTAAAAATATGACTTAACATTGTCGTTTCATCAGTTCCATTGCAAATAAAACTTGTACTTTAATTTGACCACAGCAACTTCAAGCTACTTCAGCATATTGCATTTTTATTGATGACATGAATGAATCAGACTCAGCTTCCAACCTAATCATCTTAATGTACTCTTCAGCCTTCATAAAATGTGTCCTAAAAATAGCAAAGCAAAATTAAAAATAAAATTCATTAAAACCGACCTAAACTTACACATCAGGCTCAAATGGACCCATTTTTGGCGAGGAACAAACAATTTTAATTCCTCCAAATTTTTGACACTTCAATGACTCTCTCAATTCAGTCATAAAATGCATAATTCTAAATTTAACATATGAATTATCAGTTGAGAAAGGATGTGCATCCATTCCCGGTGCTCCCGAAATTGTCATTATGTAGCCACAGCCGCTCTCCTTCATTGTTTCGACAAAACAATTTGTCATCTGGAAAATAAATGATTGATTAGGAAATTAGCAACGGCAGTTGTGTGGGAATGAGAGATAAATTTGCATGTAATTGGCGTTTGAGCTGCTGATTATGGATGCGGAATGGTCAGTGGGGATTGGAGTATTTTTTTATATTTAATTTTGAATGCTATGCTTGATTTGAGCATGTTTTTTGGAATCAATGATGACGATTGAGGTTTATTTGATTATTGATTAAATGAGGATGGAGTTGTGGTCTTTAAAGAACAGATTCTGCGATAGAATTCTTTATTAAGTGCCTAAAATGACTTTTCTTAGTGCCATGCACATGTTAGACCTCTTTGGACACTTATCTCAATTATTCACAATAATTTCAAATTTACTCACATTTTCCACAGCACAAACATTCCCCTCCAGCATCACATCAACATCTTCACTAGAATTTTTAAAGACTGTCTCATATGAAACTGTCGTAGCATTATTAATTAGAATATCGACAGTTCCAAACTCATTTATCACATCAGTCTTCAATTTTAAGACTTCTTGTTGATTCGAGATGTCAACTTTAAAGCTCTTTGCCTTCACATTGTATCGCTGTAATTTATTCAATGTTTCATCGGCTGGCAAAATGTCAGCAATGATGATGTTGCAACCGTATTGCGCCAAACTTATGCAGATTTTTTGACCAAGTCCGTTAGATCCGTTCGTAACGAGAGCAACTTTTCCATTTAAGTTTGGTATTTTCGATTTATATTTGTTCATGAGAATAAACAAGAAAGGAAATGAAATTTGCGCGGCTAGTAAAATTTCACTGAACATTTTTTTAAAACTTTTTATCTTGCCGGTGGCTGAAGCTACACTGATTTGTATCTTTGCAAAAAATTGGAGATAGTTTGAATTAAATTACCATAATTTGTGTATTTTGCCATATGTTTTTGGCTTCTTTTCGCAGCTTGGATCTTAAATGCGATTTTTGTTGTCGTGTATATTTAAGACATGTCATGTAACAGTCGGATTTGAAGTTGTAAACAGATGAAAATGAAGAAAAATTTAATTTTATTGGATTTAAGATGTTTCCATTCATCTGATTGACAATTCTGATTGAGACTGTCGTAAGTGCTATTTTAAATGCAGCCAGTGAAGATAGCCGGACTCTTTGAACTTCTTTAGTTATGTCTTAGATCTTTTGGGTTCGAACTATACTTCATGGCACACAAGTGATTCTTCATGAATTTTTAAATCATCAAAAGAAGAAAAAACCTTCAAAAAATTATGAAATTTTGGTATAAAAAGTATAACCCCACTCCCCGGGAGAGGAAGGGGATCCTAAAAAAGTTTTTAAAGAAATTTCAAATGGTCACCCGAGTTAATCAATAAAACACAATTAATACACGGAAATAAAACATCTCTGAGATAAAATTTAATAAACTTCATTGTGGTCAGTAAACGTTTTCAGTATCATACACACACCTTGACCTTCAGTTCCGTATATGTATTTATTTTTTGAGTTTTTTTGGTTTTATTGAACTTGTCGCAACAGATTCTACAGTTGACATTCTAGATATAGAATTGGGGGGGGGGGGGGGTTTGTGAGTCCAATCACCACTTTTGATGAAAGTTTTGTCTTATTTTCTTACATAATTTCTAATAATTTCCATAAATTTTATTACCATATAAAAACAGAGAAAGTTATTTTGATTTTTAAAACACAACGTAAGCAAAATTTATGCTGAATTAATTAAATTTCGATATCGATATTGCCAAAAAAAGAAGATGTGTAATAATCTTTAAACTGGTTTAAAGCTACAGGTAATTTGGGTTACCTGATATTTTTCAAAAAATTAGAGATTATCCCTCATGAAGAATTTTGGACGAATTTTTAATTTAATTTTTTAAAAATTAAAAAAAGTATAAGTCTGTCCAGGGGCGTAGCCATTTATATTGAAATATTGAGAATATTTTAAAGATTTTTTCCATTAAAATTCTAGCAAAATGAAGAAATTTCTGTTAACCTTGGGAATTTTGTCACCCAAACCCCCCCCCCCCCCCCCCCCCTTCCTCTTCTGGCTACGTGCATGATTAAATCTAAGCAGATGGTCAGCCTAGACAACCTAATATAGTGCATGCGTTTGTGTGTGTTATAAGCTTTGTAACTTTATTTTCAAATGTTTATTTTGATGATCTTTAAAAAACCTTTTTTTTCGAAGCGTAGGATTCAAAGATCCGTTGCTCCGTTTTCTTCTAGCTTTTAAGCTAGATCCTCTGTTGTTTTATCAAATTTGAACAAAAGACTTGTTAAAATTGCAAAATGTTTTTTAACCCACGTCTAAATCCTCAACCAACCACACTTATATGTCATTAATAAGCAACTCTTAAAAAGACCCTTCAAACTTGACATTGTTTGCATTTATTTTTAAGCAATTTTTCATTACAAAATATTTATTTCATTCAAATATTCATTCATTCCAAAAAAAAGGTCAAGTTTCCACATGTGCTCAAAATTTCATTATCCTTTCCAATGAAAAATGAGTAAAGGTTACTTACCTTTCATAATTTATTAACCCGCACATGTTGTACACAATTTTTCTTCAGAAATGATTTTAAAAAATTTCCACAATTTTCAATGTTATAAAATATTTTTTTTTATTCATAAAACGACACTGACCTAACATACGTTACATGCTTATCCTCAAAAATATATTGATTTTTCAGCCATAAACAGAAAATGTTTGTTGTTGACGGATCGATAAATTCTCGGAAGTCACAAATATTTAAGTTTACCTTTTTTGATCAAGTCTGTAATTTTTTAAACAAAATTCTAGTCACGTTTTTCATCAATATCAGTCATAAATGGAATAAGGAAGCTCGGAAGAATGGATGAAAATATGTTGAAATGACCTGAAATGTTGCTAACGAACCCTGCCTTACAAATGTTGATCGCTTTAAGTTATTAAAGAATTTGCTTTGAAAAAATTGTCAATAGACTTCCTCTTAAACCTCATTCAACATCGAATCCCAAGAACCAGCTTGAAAGTTTCCAAAATCCATCAAATCAACATTTCAAGAAACTATTCCAACATGTGAACTTATAGTAACTTTTTGTATGCATTGTACAACATATTTTTTGAATGTCAATCATTCTTGCTGCACATGTCTTGAATTTTCATTGCAAATTTGCAAATTCTGACTAGATTTCGAATTTTTTTACTTTCTTCTTCTTAATTTCTTTTCTCACACAACGAAGGAAGTAAAAGGAATTGAAATGGAATTCTCATCGTGAATAGGAAATTTTTTAACGTGATTTTTTGTGTGAAAATTCATAAAAAGTTTAAAAAAAACTGAACTTTTTTAAAATGTCTTCATTGCCACCTACGCTCATTTTGATTCCATCTTTACACTTCATTGACAGAAAAAGAAAAACTTTTAGCATGAAATGAAAGAAGAAATAATGAAAATGGATTGTGAAATGAGGGTGAACTTTTTAAGGTGGTCAGAAAGTTGCTTTTGTCATTAGTGCCCACAAAAGCTTTTCTTGCTGTGTCTTTATTTATAAACCATTTTACTACATTTTGTCATCAAGTTTGGAAGTAAAAACTAAGATCCAGTAGAGTTTAAATCATGTTTGGAAATAAAAATCAAGATCCAGGAAAGATTAAATCATATCTAGAACTGAAAACTAAAATCCAGTAGTTTTTATCATACAAGATAAGGGACCGTTCACTTATAACGTCCGACATTAAGGGGGAGGGGGGTCTAGGATTTTGTGACAGTTCAAACAATGGAAATTTTTTTTATAGAATTTTTGTGACAGAGGGGGGGAGGGGGATTTAAAAATCAAGTTTTTTGATGGACGTCATAAGTGAACGACCCCTAATGCACAGCATGATGAAAGTGAAATTATCAGTCAATTCTGAACTGAAAAAAAAAATCTTTACCTATTCAGATCCATAGTGATCCAGAGGTGCGCTAGGGCGTTTCGCAGCTAATGGGAGTTTAACGAGTGAGGATGCGCCAAACCACTGCACTCAAAACTAGACCTACAATTTATAGTGGGATCCAAACTACTCCTTTGATGACATTACTGCCTGTAGCCTACAAAGGAAGGCTGTGAGCCTCATTTCCAGTACATATGATTCGAAAAAGGACAAGTGAAAAATTTCTCATGCCCAGTTTCGAACCCATGATCGCTGTGTCGCTATTGCAATAATTAGGTACCGAAGTACTAAACCATTCCGCCACCGAGCCACTTCAGCTCTGAACTGAATAATCCAAAAAAGCTTTAAAAAATTTAAAAACATTCCCAAGCACAAAATTTTAAAGCAGCATCAATTTCCATGTTGATTCCATTCATCATCATTGAATTGTCGAATAAGTCAAATCCATTTCCACGCGACAGTGACATTGTAACGATGAATCGTATCTCAATTTTACAGCAATCTACATAATTCTGAATTCAAAATTGTGAATATTTACATTGCAAGAAAGAAAAGAAAATTCTCGTTGCCGCAAAAATGTTTTGTGATGGAAAATATTTTTATTCTTGGAATTTATTTTATTCCAATTAATTTGATGGATTTAAAGTTTATTTTTTGTGATCTTAAAGTAGCTTCATCTTAAATTCAATTTATTTACGATACGAAAATCATGCTCCCAGGTGGTTTTCAAACTTTTCACTTTCCATATATGAATATACAATAAATTTGATACTTAATAATTAATTCAGCACATTTTCTCTGCTACTTCTCACTCTTAAGGTTTGTAAATTCTACCTTCAATGAAGAAAATCCCAATGAGACCCTGAAAAGCGCTCCTTGACTTTATTTTACTAGTAAACTATGTGAAGAAAAATGAAAATTTTCAACAAAGGAGTGTAAAAAATACAATATAAAGTAATTATAAAGACTGGACTGATAAAATATCAAGGGAATGTGCTTACAAAGAGAATTTTTCCTTTATCATAGCACTTTTTAATTTCCATGTTTATTTAGCTTAAAATAAGTTTGAGGAGTGATTTAGAAGTTAAAAGCGCATTTATAAATTTAATTTGATTTTTACACTCAGGGAAAGAATTGAATCTGGGGTATCGAACTATGCAAAGATGAATTTTTAAATTATTATAAAAAACCTTAAAATTATCAATTTTAACTTAACATTACATTCTTTAAATTGCTTTATGTTATATAAGCTTGTTTCAATTTTCAATCAGCTTCTAGATCTTGTTTTCTAGATCTGTTCCAATAATAGCATTCCATGTAGATAAATTCACAGATTTTGTAACTGTTCCTTTCTAAACTGCATCATTTTATGACCTGTTTAACATCTCACATCGCCTAATTCTTAGTTTTAAGCACGTTTTACGTCTTAAACTTCTGCACTTAAGAACCCGATGCATCTAAACTTCTGAAAAATTGCTAGACTGATTTTGGGATTTGAACACATGAGTCTAAATTCATCATAAAATTTTGAGAACTGCTCCTAGCCAATTGAGCTATCAATAATAATAATTCTTTATTTGAAGGCTGAAATATCTCGGTACCTATGCCTTATTAATGAAATACGTCATTTACATACAATACAGATAATTGCAAATCCATTTTTATCTACTACTATGTTACTAGAAAGCAATAACATCATCTCAATTGCTTTGCATATATTACTTTGCCAGAAGCTTTGATAAAATGCTCACGTTTCAATTTGACATATTTTAGAGCATCGAGATTGCAAAAAATGCAGGAAAAGCTATAATTTTTTTTTTTTGGTTTATATTTCATTTTATTTGTAAGTAGCCAAATGGCTGTGTTACAAAATTAAATCATATTTAGCTACATAGTGCATTTTGTTCTTAAATTAATATTTTCAATCCTAATTCTGCAAAAAAAACTCAAATGTGCTCAAATGTCTAATTTTAAAACTCTTTTATGAACTTTCAAGCTTTGCTCCATTTCTATTTTGTCATTAACAGCAGTACAGATAGATTTTTTATTCCCTTAGGGGGCCGTTCACTTATTACGTTGCGCAAAAAAACGACTTTTTTCATCCCCCCCTCCTCCCCCCTTGTTAT